TGTATTCCATACATAAAAGTAGACTGCAAAAGATCCAACATTTATGTTGTCGCTTTATATTGAATATCAGAAAATACGGACGATTTGTCAAAAAATGTAAACGCTGTTTTAGTTACAATAATGATATGTAATGCTGTAGACCGTAACATTAAGAGTCTTACCATTGCCCGATTTTAGAAATATGTATTTTCCAACTTATTAAAAAAAACAGAATTCTTAAACTATTAGGTTACTTAAGTATTAGAAAGCTTCTTTAAATTTATAATTGTTTTTTATCTCATCTTTTTTTTTGTCTTATATTATCTCATTTCTTAGAATTTCTCTTACATTTATGTAGTGTAAATTGTAGATTATTTTTGTAAGAGGTTAAGTGTAAGAATAGCTATAAGCTAAACTTCGCCTCCGAGAGGTACTGTATATGCATCTGAAATAAAGACGTTTATTATTATTCTTACCTTTTCGAGAAAGTGGGCTAAACTCATCAACAAAAAATTTGCGACGACGTCATAACCATAAATACACAGTGTGAGAGAACAATAGAAAAAAAAGGAAAACCAAGTTTGGAATCTTAACTTTTATTATGTTTGCAAAAATTTGGACGGTTAGGGAAAAATTCAAAGCGGATTCGTACACCAACCTTACAGGACTATATTGTTGTAGAGCACTTAAATCAAATAAACATAAAATTCTTTAAAATTACGTCATCGAATTGTTGGTGGGGATGATTAGCAAAATTTTGGTTAGCATTTAACCATTTATATAATATTTCTAATATACATACAAAATTTGACAACAATTGGTCCAGCGGTTTCGGAGATTACGTGTCTGAATACAGACACCAGACAAACAGAGACAGACCGACAGACGGAAACGGAAGCTCACTTTTTTCGTGCTTTTGGGGTCATAAAACGTCGAGAAAATATAAAAGTGGCCATTCGTTCGATGGACACGATTACTATACTTTAAGTAAAAATATGTGTAGATTATTAAAGAACACAAAAGAAGTACAACTAAATTTCAACCCATGTATTCATAAAACACATACAAAATTTTTTATCGTCTTGATCTTGTATTAAATTATGTTTAAAAAACTAATAGAAGTCGTTTAAAAAAAATTAAGGAATTAAAAATATATACAGGGTGTCTCAACAGTTTCATGGAAAAATATACAGACGTTTAAAAATTTAGATCAATGTACATTCTTTATGAAAAAAAAAAAAAATTCAAATACAAGAATTAGAATGTTTGATCCGACATCCGACAAACTTGCTTTTATAAAAAAAATTGGGCATATTTGAAAATTCCCTGCTTCTGGATTTTTAAAAATGGAGGTTTTGAATTTTGCTCGCAGTTTTTTACTCACCTTGTTTTAACATACGTGCAGAAAAAATTGACTTATATCGACTCAATTTTTCGAAGTGTCGAAAATTTTATCAAAATCAAATTGCTACTTTTATCCACGGAGGTAGAAGAGACTCTTCTACCTCCGTGCTTTTATCATACTTTTGAAATGGAAGTTTTTTTTTGACGCAAGTTTGTTGGGACATATTATAACAATTGAAGGGTGTCAGGAGAAAGCAAAGAATGTCAACTGGATAAAAATCGAAATATTTAAAATATTATCTTTGAAAGTCAATTTTTTTTTTATTGTCGCACATTATATTTTCATAGTTTACACAAAAATTGTTCAAATCGAACAACACTTTATTTTGTATGAACATTGAACAAGGAACAAAAAGTTTATAATAGAAAATGAAATTTGAACAAAGTACCGAGAGGTTGGAAGAAAACTGTGAATGTCTATAGGAAAACGTCGTCAAATATTAGCTGACTATAAATCTCACATTGTGAAATTGGATGAGGGTAATTTTAGGTTCTTGTTTAGGTTCCACTGTTGTTCAATACCAAATGCACTTTTCGCCCAATCAAATGAGTGACCAAAAAGAAAACCGGGTGGGTGGGAGGGGCCGCTTTGAATTTTTGTAAGTCTAGTTCGCCATTTGACATAGTAAAATTCAGTCTTCGTCTTATCAAAAATACCAATGACATCCAAAAGCGGAGGTGGGTGGGGTTAGTTTTACCTTTTCGTCTAGATTCCAGTGTTTATCAACATAAAACCCACTTTTTGTCCAATACAATGAGTAATCAAGAAGAAAATCGGGTGGGTGGGCGGAACCACTTTGAATTTTTATAAATAGATTCGATCACATGACAAAATAAAATTCAATTTCCATCTAATCAAATAAGCCAATAAAATTCAAAACCGAAGGTGAGTTGTAGGTTTTTGTTTAGATTCCACTATTGTTCAATACAAAATGCACTGTTCGTCCAACAAAATTTTTTAAGCCTAATTCGCTACTTGACGTAGTAAAATTCAGTCTTCATCGAATAAAAAAAAAACAAAAAAAAATGACATTCAAAAGCGGTGCTGGGTGGGATTAGTTTTACGTTTTTTGTCTAGATTTCGTTGTGACATCTGTAAAACGAGTCTTAATAATCGATAACAATTTTAGATTTAGAACCCAATCAGCCATATTTAAAAAAATGTTACCTAGATTTTTTGAAAAAATTAAAAACAATTATTTTGCGAACTTTTATTTGTGGTAACTTCTATACATTAAAATGTGTATGTGTTTTAATACTCTATTTTTTTTGGTGATTCTCTATGACATCCAATTTTTTTAAAGACACTGTATATTTTTTTCGAGATTCTTGTAGAACTTGTTTTTTAATTCATTAACGTATCATACTTTAACCACCCATACTTCGTCACTGTCTATGATCCGACCGCATTTTTTTTACGAAAGCACTCTTTGTTAACTTTCTTATATTTGGTCTGTAATACACTTGTCATTCACCTATGACGAAAAACTGATTAGTAAATAATTACTTCACAAATATGAATGCTTGAAGACTGTGCCTATATTTGTAGCGAGTTTTCCGATTTGAAAATATTCCGATCATCATTATTTCAGCAAGGACACGTATGTCAATTCCGAGACGTTTTAAGTTTCTTGTTGTGAAAAGATGGCTATGTACATTAAGAAAAAACAAAGTAAAATATAAGCCCCGCCCACCCACCCTATCTCAATTGTGATGATTTTTTTTTATTCGTTTTGAGCCGAGGGGTGGAGCTTACTTGCAATCTCCTCATTTTTCGCCAAGAAATTATCCAGTGAAACATAATCTTAACTAGATAATCATGTTCTTCAAAGAAAATTGTATGTATCAAATAAAAAAGAAAGTCAAAGTTTAAGCTCCACCTACACCCACCCCATGTCAGTTGTGATGAATTTTTCATTTATTGTCACACCCAGGGGCGGAGCATAAATGCAAAATCGATATTTCCCTGTGGTGTCCTGATTTAAAAATTTTCAATTTCACGCCAAGAAAAAAATTGCGCGAAACCGCAAATAAACAAAAATCGTTTCAACAATGACAACTACTCCTTCATGTTGGATTGGTAACCAAAAAGTTCATTCACTTCCTGTTTTTGGTGCTAAAAAGAGGGTAGTTATATTTAGTTTGCATATTGTAATTATTGTAATATCGGTTTATTAATGATTTTCTAATAAGAAAATTTTGTTTTATTGTTTGTAAATTCACGGTTCACATGGCAGAAATTCACTTATTCAGCCTCAATTTACTTGTTTATAACAATTTATGACTTAAAATATGTCAAACGTTGATACATTACATCGTAGGCTCGAAAACGGGACAACTTTAATCATTTTCTTACAGATTTAATCATTTCTCACAGCTTGAATTTGAATATTTATTTTCGTAGTCACCGTTCCAAAGCGAAGCGTTTCCAAGACCACATTATTTTGAGTTGGATCCTATTGAATTTGTGCCTGTTTGTGCTATGGGGTTTTGTTGACTCCAAGATGATGTATTTTTGATGAAATCATTTCATCATTAACTTGGATTAACGCGTAATTTAAAATCATGTAAATTCTTTGTTGTTTGAAATTCTTGATAAGAGTGTGGCATATTTAAACAACGCTTATTTCCTTTTGTGTAATTCAGAGATTTTAATTTAAGGAAGGGATCGCATGACGAAATAAGTACTTTTCTCTCCTTGCCATTTTCACGTAAATGTTTATCTGCAATATCGCATTTTCAACCCCGGTGAACCAGGCCGTCTAGTTGGCTATTTCCTTTGCGAAGCTGTAGTTAAGGCAACCAGATGTTCACGAGAAGACGCCCTTCGCGCTGCTGTCGCTATACGTTACCTTGCAAATAAGTTCGCTTTTGCACAGACCTTGAAGATTATCATCAGTTAAATTAATGTTACCATGGACTCGAGGTGGAAGGTGTACTTTATGTTTATCTTGTATTATACATATTGAGCTTTTTTTTACATCAGAATTATTTTTTCTCAGAGGTTAAAGTTGAATTTGCTCTCCCAATTCATGACACAACAATGAACTAGTTGAATTTCATCGGTCAATTGCAACAATCTTAGTAGGATGTGTGAATTTTCGCGCTACAACGTAACGCTGAAAACTGAGGAGAGCTCGATCGTCTTAATCGGAGTAATCGATCCCGTAACCGTGATCTATGATTTGGACTCCCGATACAGATTTTGGGTTTCTCCCTCTTTTGAATAGAGGAAAAAACAATTCGCCTTCCATGTCGAACAAAAACACAACGTAGGTTTATATTTATTGTACGTATATTTTTAAGTTTTCTCGGGTTTTGTGCTCATGTCTCATTTTATTTCTTTATACGTTAAACTTTAACGTTCGTGTAAACTTGGACACTCACTTTGTAGACACGTGTTCACTCCATCTGTTCGGTAAATGGACTAAGAATCCCGTATGATTATTAATATTTTAAAACACTACCCAACTTCTAGACCTATTTAGTTTTGCAGTCATGGGTAGTCACCCATAAAACAATTACTTTAAATAAGGTGTGTACCAAAAATACGTCCACAATGACGTCACACTGAGTCATAAGATTGCGCAACTTTGCACAACTTAAAAATAACTTACCATATCTGCGGCAATGGCGTCCTCACTAAAACTAACGCCATCTTCCTCCAATTGCAAGACACTAATACCCCACGTGGGATTAAAAAACGACAAGACTTCCACATTGCTCAAGTCGGTTCGAATCCGATTTTCGTCCTACAAACCCCACTCTTACAACTGGCCACCACTCAACTCCGCCAAACTCACCTTAATGGCAAAATTATTCGCCACAAACCCCACCACGTCCTGCTCAGTCATGTAGGGCTTCGCCGAGGCGTCCTCGCAGCGATTTTTGAGCGCCCTCCGGTTCAGCTCCGGCTTCAGGACGTGCAGCAAGTGGAGGGCCGGCTTGCCCTCGCCCTCCAACACACAATTGACGTACCTTCTCGAATTGGCGTCAGATTTAACACAAATAGGTATCGTGGCTGCAAAGAAAAAAACTTAATTGATTTTTTCCCACACGCCGCGCCGGCCGGGAACGGGAAAGCATTAAAACAAAAAAAAGTGAAGTAATAAAACTTTATTCTTGATTAAAAAAGCTCATACAACTATAAAAAGTATCGATTGTAAAATTTAAGCCACCTTGTTATTGATATAATCATTAACATCTTCCTTACCAGTCACTTCCAGAGTTGTATCGGACCGAATTCCCAAATACACGATAGCCACGACGATGAAAAATAAAAAGGCCACCACGAGGACCATAAACGGGACGAAATTGTTTTTGAACAGGCTCTGATTCGTTATTTTGTAGTCGTACGTGCTCGGGCGCCCTCTAGTGGCCCTGTAACTAAAAAAACGAATTAACTCAAGGCAATTAACACACTATTTTTATACACTACACATGTCAATCCTGGCCAACAAAAAAAATAAACGACTGCATTTTGGTTAAACTAATACTCGTTATTTTAAATTTATGCGTCACATCATAGCGATCTCCAACCAATTAAGGATGTGAGGCAAAAACAATTATGTTCATCAGTTTTCCATAAACAGAAGAGCGGAAAAGCCCAAAATTTTACAACCTAAAAAAATAGATCCTTCTACAATCAAAGGCGAATCCATAAACCACAGGTATAAGAAGTATGCTATTTTATAAAGTTTAAATAGTACTTGCTGTGCAAAATTTAAAAATCTTTAAATCTGTGTAAATGTTAATCGAGTACATCAAAATTAACAAAATTTCTTTAATTTAGTTTTTTAAATTTATTTATTCATGAAGAAAGGGAAGGAAGTGAAGTCAAAAAAGAGATAAATAAATCGGCACTGATTTTTTTTTTTAATTATTCATATTTCAGTGACGAGTTTTAATATTTTGAAATCGACCAAATTGCTTGTCCCAAGAAAAATCCCGTAAGAACTGAATTTACTTTACTTATTTATTATTTTGTTTAAGTCTAATCAAATTTGTTTGAAATTCTGGCAGTACTGACTCGTTGTAATATTAAAATAAAGCTTTCTTATTTTTTAAATTTAATTGTTTAATTATTAAATTAGCATCAAGTTTACCACACAATTTGAATTTTCTTTTTTTAATGTTATTTTTTTTGTTGTATTTTTTTAACGATCTGTTCATCATTTTTGTATAAATAAAAGAACGGGAAAGCACAACATTTTACAACATGAAAAATGAGTACATATACAAATGTCTAAAAATTTAGGCAGATCCATAAACCACAGGTACAAGAAGTATGTTATTTTATGAAATTTAAATAAGATTTACTATGCAAAATTTAGAGATGATGTCCTCAATTTTCCTGAAATTTCTGAAACATAATATAATTTTCAATGTTAATCGAGCACGTTAAAATTAACGAAATTTTCTTTAATTAAATTAATTTTATTTATTAAGTATTTTTTTAACGATCTGTTCATCATTTTTGTATAAATAAAAGAACGGGAAAGCACAACATTTTACAACATGAAAAATGAACACATATGAATGTCTAACAATATAAACGGATTCATAAACCACAGGTACAAGAAGAATGTTATTTTATGAAATTTAAAAAAGATTTATTATGCAAAATTTAGAGATGATGTCCTCAATTTTCCTGAAATTTCTGGAACATAATATAATTTTCAATATTAATCGAGCACGTTAAAATTAACGAAATTTTTTTAAATTAAATCAATTAAAATTTATTTATTTATCAAGAAAGGGGAAGAAGTGATGTAAAAAAAGAAATAAGTAAATCTGTACTGTTTTATTTTTTTTCGAATTATTCATGTTTCAGTGATGAGTTTTAATTTTCTGAAATCGACCAAATTGCTTGTCTCAAGAAAAGTCCCTTAAGAACTGAATTTACTTTCCTTATTTATTATTTTATTTAAGCTTGTTTGAAATTCTGGCAGTACTGTCTTGTTATAATATTAAAATAAAGCTTTCTTAATTTTTTAATTTAATTATTTAATTATTAAATTAGCATCAAGTTTACCACACAATTTGAATTTCCGGTTTTTAATGTTTTTTTTTGTTTGTATTTTTTTAACGATCTGTTCATCATTTTTGTATAAATAAAAGAACGGGAAAGCACATTTTACAACATGAAAAATAAATACATATGTATGTCTAAAAATATAGGCGGATTCATAAACCACAGATACAAAAAGTATGTTATTTTATGAAATTTAAATAAGATTTACTATGCAAAATTTAGAGATGAAGTCATCTATTTTCCTGAAATTTCTGGAACATAATATAATTTTCAATGTTAATCGAGCACATTAAAATTAACAAAATTTCTTTAATTAAATTAATTAAAATTTATTTATTCATGAAGAAAGCGGAGGAAGAGTGACGTCAAAAAAGAGATAAATAAATCTATACTGTTTTTTTTTTTTTTTTGGAATTATCCATATTTCAGTGATGAGTTTTAATATTTTGAAATCGACCAAATACGTTGTATCGTAAAAAATCCCTTAAAAACCGAATTTACTTTATTTATTTATTTATTATTTTGCTGAAGAATAATCAAATTTGTTTGAAATTCTGGCAGTACTGTCTCGTTGTAATATTAAAATTAAGCTTTCTTATTTTTTAAATTTAATTGTTTAATTATTAAATTAGCATAAGTTTACCACACAATTTGAATTTCCGTTTTTTAATGTTATTTTTTTTTGTTTGTATTTTTTTAACGATCTGTTTATCATTTTTGTATAAATAAAAGAATGGGAGAGCACAACATTTTACAACATGAAAAATGAATATATATGTCTGTCTAAAAATTTAGGCGGATTCATAAACCACAGATACAAGAAGTATGTTATTTTATGAAATTTAAAAAAGATTTACTATGCAAAATTTAGAGATGATGTCCTCAATTTTCCTGAAATTTCTGGAACATATAATTTTCAATATTAATCGAGCACGTTAAAATTAACGAAATTTTTTTAAATTAAATCAATTAAAATGTATTTATTTATCAAGAAAGGGGAGGAAGTGATGTCGAAAAAGTACTGTTTTATTTTTTTTCGAATTATTCATGTTTCAGTGATGAGTTTTAATTTTCTGAAATCGACCAAATTGGTTGTCTCAAGAAAAATCCCTTAAATCCCCCTGTTCATCATTTTTGTATAAATAAAAGAACGGGAAAGCACAACATTTTACAACCTAAAAAATGAATACATATGTACTTCTAAAAGTATAGGTGGATTCATAAACCACAGTTACAAGAAGTCTGTTATTTTATGAAATTTCAATAATAGTTACTATGCAAAATTTAGAGATGATGTCATCAATTTTCCAGAAATTACTGGAACATTATATAATTTTCAACGTATTAAAATTAACAACATTTCTTTAATTAAATTAATTAAAATTTATTTATTCATTAAGAAAGCGGAGGAAGTGATGTTCAAAAAAGAGATAAATAAATCTGTACAGATTTTTTTTTTAATTATTAATATTTCAGTGATTTGTTTTAATTTTTTGAAATCGACTAAATCCCTTAAGAACCGAATTTACTTTATTTATTTATTATTTTGTCTAAGACTGAACAAATTTGTTTGAAATTCTGGGAGTAGTCTCGTAATATTAAAATAAAGCTTTATTTTTTAAATTTAATTATTTAATTTTTAAGTTAAAATCAAGTTTACCACACAATTTAAATTTCCGTTTCCAATATGTTATTTTTTTTGTATCTTTTTAACGATCTGTTCATCATTTTTGTATAAATAAAAGAACGGGAAACCACAACATTTTACAACCTAAAAAATGAATACATATATACTTCTAAAAATGTAGGCGGATTCATAAACCACAGTTACAAGAAGTCTGTTATTTTATGAAATTTAAATAATAGTTACTATGCAAAATTTAGAGATGATGTCATCAATTTTCCCGAAATTTCTGGAACATTATATAATTTTCAATGTTAATTGAGCACATTAAAATTAACAAAATTTCTTTAATTTAACTAAAATTTATTTATTCATCAAGAAAGAGGAGGAAGTGATGTCAAAAGAGATAAATAAATCTGTTAACGTTAAAACGTATTGATTTGGTCAGGATTGACAAACGCATATTTTCAATCGAGTTCTACCATTTTCCGTTAAATGAATGAGCGTCAGACATAGTAACTAGGACTCCTATAAATTCCAGTCACATAAAAGTCTGAGTTTTACTTTAAAACAGTATTTATGAACTCTATTAATCGCTAACCGCGTGACGAAATATGGCAGGATTAAAAATATTACCACAGTGTTAACCACAACTGATAAAAAAAATACCTGTTGAGATATGTCCTCGAATTGGTGGTTCCCCCATTAACATCGTTCTCCTTAATAATGTCACTCTTATAATCATACAGAGTGCTCTTCGGACTCTCTGACAACTGAGACAACCTCTTTGTAAAGTTGCTCAAAAACGGCGTGTTCTCCTTATCTTTCAAAATATCATCATTCGACGAGTTGTAGTAGGACTTATCATACCCCGAACTGTACGTCGATTGGCGAGCCCTAATCTGGTTCAGCCTATCCGAAGCCGCTTCGGCCGCCAGCGACCCCGAAACAAAGCTCGAAGGCAACCTGCTAGGTGACGGCGTCTTCTTAAAACTGTCACTCAACCCCGGCGCCTCTCTCCTCAGGCTACTCTCATACTTCTCCGCCACCTCGTCAGACTCCGATCCCGTATCGAACTCATCTTTCGAAGCCTGCAGGATCTTGGTGGTCCGGGTGGACGTCGTGGTGACGCTTTTCAACTCCCGCTTCAGAGGCGACCCGTCAAGGGAGCTGACCTCGCTCCTGGGGGCCTTCTTCTTAACGGGCAGAGGCGGGGCCGCCATGGTCGCCCGCCGGTACTTGTCTTTCCTGGCCGACTTGGCGTCCGAGTCGCTTTCGTCCTCGCTGGAGTAGCGCCCCAGCGAGCGGCGGTTGTCCTTGTTCACCTTGTTCTTGGTCTCCAGCAGCATCTTCAGCTTCTTCATCATAACCCGCCGCGTCGTGCCGGTGATGGGCATGACTGGGTATCCGCACTCGATGAGTTTGGACCTGAGTTCGGCATCGGTGAGATTTTCGACATCTACGTCCATCTGGGGGGAGAAGATTATTGGGGGTTGTGGGAAAAGAGCGGTTGGCTTACCTTGGAGGAAGATTCACATGTATGTACTTCTCGTGGTAAAAGAAGCGCGCTCAACGCGACCTTGAGGAAGCTTTGTTTTCGTTGGAAAAGCGTGCGAGGAAAGCGCCTGGGGTGTTGGCGGTGTGGGCGAAGGCGCGGCGCACAGCTCGGTGATGTTTTTGCACTAAATTTAACGTTATCTTTAACTTAAATACTAGGGAAACTATTAAAGCGTCTGACTTCCATAAATAGACATGACGTTACAGTTTTTTGCGCTGCAGGGGGCGCTGAGGACGCCGGTTTGAAATGGAAGTGGCGACAGTGTCGTCGGACGGTTTTCAATACAAAAAAACGTACCTATTTATGAGTAATTAATTGTAAATTTATTTATTTCTGATTTACTTCCTTCAAACGAAGTACTTGTTTACGAACACTGTTATAAATATTATTAAAAACTCAATTCCAATGGGGAAAGTGTCTACAGTGTCGACTTTTTTTCCCGGAAAAAAAAGATTCTCAGATAAACAGAAATAATATTTTTATTATAAACATAATGAAACTATTTTTGAGGCTACCGACATTCATTTCATCGATGGGTATGTCTATGTATGCGAACTTTCACAAAATGTTATCAAATGTCACAACATAACCTCATATTGTGACACAAACTTTCATTATTGTGGGGATCAGAATCGTGTAAATGAGGTAAAATGTTATAAAATTAAAATATATAAGTAAACATGCTAAAGGTAATAGGAACATTTTGTTAAAAATAAAAACACAATAAAACTATAATATTCTCCTTATTTATAGCCTCAGGTGCTGAACTATTTCGGGGATATACCGAATTTTGTCTAAGTAATTAAAAAAAAATCCCCATTTCATTATTACGCGCTTAAAAAGAACAGATATTTGGCGCTATCTGTAAAAATGTATAGTGGTTACGCTGGTGCGTAATAGAGGGAACTAAACAAATCCGCAGAACTAAATTTATACTGAAAAAAATATTAAGAAATAAAATTATATAAAAAAAAATATTGAAAATTTATAAATACATTAAAAATAAAAATTTCTTGAATTATCGTAGACTTTTCGGTAGATTTGGTGTTTCAATCGGTAGATAGGTAGACAGAGCCCAAAATCGGTAGATCTACCGAAAATTCGGTAGAAGTGGCAACACTGTTTGGGGGTCTTTGGGTGCTCACTCCAACAAAGTAGTAGGAGTAGTATTTTATGTAGAGTCTCTTTTTCTGATGTCTATCAATATCTACAAAATAGAAATATGTTTTCCTTTTACTAAAAACTGTTTAAGATGTTTATATTTGAGCACATGCGCTTTTTTTAAAAAATTAAACGAGATTGATTTTATTAATTTGTCTAATTAAAATTTGTGACGACGTCATCAACATGGACAATTCTGGTCACAGCACAAACGAAAAGTAGTCACAGCGGATTACCATTTGTTTATTCTTGTACTGATAAATTACATAAGTGGATTCTGAAGAATAATTCCACGCCCCAAATTTGTAGTACTTAAGAAACTTCGGAAATATGCCATCACTAGAAAAGTGTTCTGCTCTACAGACAGAGGCATATTAGGAAAAGCAATCGGACAAATCTAAAATTCGAAACTTCAAATCTGACAACTAATATTTTTTACCAACAAAAAAAAAATCGAAAAAAGGCGCCACTGAGTTTTGAAATTTGAAACTTGAAACTTCAAATCTAGCAGCTACTAACTACTTTTAAACAACTTAATATACCAAATTATTCAAGTTTAGGTTTACCAACTCTCTCAATCAATTTTGCTTGTTTTCTTAATACGCGTAGTCGCCTTTTCAGAACAAGAAAGTTAAAACATGTTTACAATGGTAAATTCTTGTAGACAAAATATAGATCTTGCAACTAGGCTCCCTCAATCTGACAAGGAATGAAAAATTCATCACAATTGAGAATTGAGATCGGGGCGGGTATGGGTGGAGCCCAATCTTTGACTTTATTTTTTCCTTAATATACATAGTATTCTTTGAATAACACGATACTCAAAAACATGTTTTTAATTTCTCGTAGAGAAATAAGGATTTTGCAGTTAAGCTCCGCCCCCTTGGCTCACGACAAATAAAAAAAAATCATCACAATCGGGATAGGGCGGGTGGGCGGGGCTTACATTTTTCCCTTTTTTTCTTAATATGTGTAGTCGTCTTTTCAGAACAGGAAACTTAAAACATTTAAAATGGTAAACTTAATGAGAAAATATCAATTTTGCAATTACGCTCCTCCCCTCGCTCTGACAATGAATGAAAAATTCATCACGATTGAGATCGAGGCGGATAGGTGGGGCTCCTCTTTTGGGTTTCTTTTTTAAATAATACATTTAGTTTTCTCTACAACACGATTACTTAGGAATATTTTTCACATGGTAAGTTCTCGTAGAAAAATACGACGAATAAAAAAAATCATCAGAATTAAGATAGGGCGGGGCTTATATTTTGCCATTTTTTTCTTAATATACATAGCCATCTATTTCCATTTTAGACATGTTTTAAGTTCCATGTTGTGAAAAGAAGTGTACATCATATTAAAACAAAAAGGCAAAATGTAAGCCTACGCACCCGCCCTATCTCAATTGTGATGACTTCTTTTTATTCGCCGTAAACCACGGGCGCGGAGCTTAACTACAAAACACTTATTTCTTTACAAGAAATTAAAAACATGTTTGTTCAAAGAATACTAAGTATATTAAGAAAAAAGTGAAAATATATATAAACCCCGCCCACCCTCCCCGTGTCAATTGCGATGATTTTTTTTATTCTTAGAAACTTTAAACACGTTAAAATTGGTAAATTTTTGTAGATAAATATGGATCTTGCAATTAAGCCCCGCCCCTCGATCTGATAACGAATGAAAAATTTATCACAATTGAGAATTGAGATCGGGGCGGGTATGGGTGGAGCCTAATCTTTGGCTTTATTTTTTTCTTAATATACATAGTATTCTTCGAACAACACGATACTCAAAAACATGCTTTTAATTTCTCATAGGGAAATAAGGATTTTGCAGTTAAGCTTCTCCCACTTGAGTTCGGGTGGGTGGGCGGGGCTACAATTTGCCTTTTTTTCTTAATATGTGTAGACTTATTTTGACAACAACAAACTTAAAACATGTCTAAAAATATACCACAAAACCACAAAAAAGAGGCGACCAAATAAGAAAAGACAAAAAAAGGCAATAAAAAAGAGGCGGCAAAAACAAAGAAGCGACAAAAAATGGAGGTGATAAAAAAGGCTACAAAATCAAAAGGAAACAAAAAATGGGGGAGCGAAAACAAATTGTAAAAAAAGAGGCGACAAATAAGAGAGGCGAAGAAAAGATTGCACAAAAAAGATGGCAAACAAAATGACGAAACGGGGGCGACAAAAAAAGGCGAAAAATGCGTTAAAATACAGACAGCTCAGAATAAAATAAGGTTTAACTTTTTCTTACAGCGTCTTCTATAAGCAAGCAATAGCTCCGCCCGCACTCTCCCCTCGATTCTCCCTCTTCATTCTAGATACTACATACTCATAATATTGTTTAGACTTATCATCGCAAGTAAGCCCCGCCCGCCCTCCCTCTTCTCATTCTAGCGACTAATTTTAGTTCTGTGTAAGATCCATCTTTCATTCAGAGTGGATAAAATTAACCACCAAAATGGAGACGGGTGGGTGGGCGGGGTTACTTTTATGTTCTTCTGTAAAGTGGAAACTGATATAAATTAGGCTATAAAAAGCGCTATTCGTAAATTTTTTGTTGTATTATGACTTGTCATAAGATTTATTTCTTATTTCAAAAGAAAAATCAGAAAACGGGTGGGTGGGCGGGGCTAAGTTAAACTTTTTCCTGGAGTCTTTTATGGACATATCAACTTGGATTGGTGCAGTATAATATTAAAAATAACAGTATTGTATTCCCAAAATTTTCTGAGAAAATAAAGTAAGCCGTTCCTGAATTAATAAATCAAATAAATTGACTCACTCATTAATTTTTTTGACCCACCTGTTTAAACAAAACTAAAAAATATGAATACAATGCCAAATCACAAGTAAAAACTCAAATTTTGCACATTTTGGGTAGAATTTAGTCGCCAAATTTTGAGATGACGTCTTCAAGTTTTTGGGGTAAATAAACAGATATGTTTTGATTAACAACTCACCAGGCTTACAATAACTTTGACACGTTTGCAAAATTTCGAAGTATTGATTTATTCAATAAAATAAGTTGACTGATTCATTAATTTTTTTGAGTCACCCTGTATATGCAAATCCAAAAAAATATGGATAGAATGATAAATTACAAGTACAGACTCATCATATTTTGTACGATTTAGATACGCGGCAAAATTTTCAACTGACGTCATCAATTTTTTGGAGAGGATAAGTAAATATATTTTTCTGACGATCGTTTATTAATGTGAAAATTACGAACAAATTTGGTGTTCAAAATTGATCAATAATGAGTTTCATTATTCAACGATTGAACCAAAGTAGACAGAAATGTCATTGTATTGTTGGTTGGATACCAATCTAATAAAGTTTGTCATTTCAATTTCAACGTTTCTTAAAATTAACACGATATTTAAAAGTTGAATCAACAGGGTGTTCTTTTAATCAAAAATGTATTGTGAAATAAATTTAAATAAAATAAACTCCACAGAAATGTCAAAGTATTGTTAGTTGCATACCAATTTAATAAAATGTCAAAGCAAACTTAACAAATTAAACAAATTGCTGTTTTCGAAAATTATGATCTTCGAAAAAATATTGTAATCAACACAGTAGGTAATCACTTCCTCTCTCCTTCCCACCCTTCGGTCGCTCGTGTAATTAAAATTGCTCGAACTAGTTGATTAAATAACTACTAATTAAAAATGTATCGGTTTTGCAGATTCAAAATTAAATTGCAAAATGTTTCATAATTTTGATTTCTTTTTTTCAAAAATCTGGACGTTTCGGATAAAAACTCAATACCAAACCCATTTACTATGTGCAATTTTGAAGTGACGTGATCACATTATCGGTGGGGATGACTAGACAAATTTTGGTTAGCGTTTTACCATTTACATGATATTCCCAATATAAAATACAAAATTTGACAACAATCGGCCCAGTACTTTCGGAGATTATCTGTCTAATAAACATCCGGGACGACAGACAGACAGACGGAAACGGGAGACTTATTTCTTCGTACTCTACGGGTCATGAAAGATCGAGAAAACGTAAAAGTAGAGGGTCGGCCAACGGACTCGATTACAATACTTCCTTCGCCTATGCTCGGGAAGTAAAAAAAGAAAAAAAAATTGCGACTAAGTTGTGCCGGTTGAAGACATGTCTTAACGCTCAGCTACAAAAAAAAACTTGCCTAACTTTGAATGAAATCAAATTAAACGTTCTGAATCAATGCAAAAATCTGAATATCACAAATTTCATAAAAACGAAGAGAAATCTGAATTAAAGTAAGTAACTGGATGCAAATACACATGTTATTACGGACGTGTGGCGGCAAATTTAAATTATGGCAGTCAACAAGAGAACAAAACACAGCGACACCAGAACGCCATAAGAGTGTGGCGATTGAACTATATCAGTTTCAGTCTAGAGCACAGCAGAATTACTCATAGGGGACGTTGTAGAACGAGCGGAGTTTGGAGCTCCTGGTTGTGGCTGCTCTCCCTCCACAACGGTTATTCTAGTCTATCGGCAAGCACATGCCACCCAGCACCCCTCTATTACCAAGAAACGCGTCACATCATCCCGACCGCTCCCCTGACTTCTATTCTAGGTCTGCGTCTCTTGTGCTCGACAAGGAACCGCGCACTCCGCTTCCGCCACGTGTTTCTGTATTATTTACCTAATTTTAAAATATGCCATAAATGCAAAAAGTAGTTAAATCAGCAGAATATGCAAAAACATACATGTTGCACATTATCCGAGCCTTAGTAATGATGAAAACATCCATGCTGTAAAATATATTCGGTTGCCTACTTAGTTTCCGAAAACAATTACCCTGTTATTGTAGTTATATAGTACGTATAATCTACAAATAAGAATTCCAGACCTGTTCCAACTCCATTTTTTATATCTTCAAAAATATCAATTTTCCACTTCAAGGAATTGCAGTAAAAACTAAACTACCCTCTCCTTAAGATTCTAGACCGCGATTACTTATTATTCTAAAACCCTCGCTGACCTAATCCGCCAAGTACCACGAATCCACCGCGAATCGCCCTATCCTCGCCCCAACTCCCCCGCTTTCTGGAATCCCCAACGGTCACGCAACCATGTCCACCTGTGAATTCCCCAGTAGCGCAGGTCGACGCTTTTGCATGTCCGATGGTCAGTTCCCTTCCATCCGCCAACCATGCACGTCGCGGGTAAAAAGTGTGCCTTCAAACCCACCCACCGACTGCCTTTTCAACAATTCTAACGCACCTCTGGAGTAAGTCCCACTTTCTCAGCTCAACCCATTTTCGCACCCCTTCAAACGCCGCAAGCCGCTTTTATCACGGATTTATGGTGTTATTGGAACGCGTTCGACACGAATTTGTTGTGATAGTTTATGTTACCCCTAGTGACCGCACTTTTCAAGTTCAACTCACTTAATAATAAGTCAATCGATAATTCACAAGGGGTCTACTTATCTGATGAGGGTGGAGTAACCTTGCCCCAGTTCTGCGGACTCGTGCACTTAATGCACGTCGGCAATTACCGTTAATGCTTCCAATTCCAACGAAAATATTTACATATAGGACGTGGAAAGACCAAATTATACGCCGCAAATTATACGGTTCGAGGCAGTGTCATATGCACGTCAAAGTGATGAATTACGGGCTAATAATGCTTCGATTGGTCGGTTCCGGTCGAATTATCCACTCAATATTTCATCCCTTGGAAAATTTAAGTGTTGAATTGGTATTTGTAGATGGACGTTTGCATGTTAGGATTGTTGACCCTCGGATTATAAATTGCCTCTAACGCGCTCAATAACGCACGGTTCCAGGATGACTTGAAACAATGGCCGAAAACGTGAAAGTGATTGTGAGATGTCGGCCCATGAACAAGAAGGAGCAGGACTTGAACTGCCAGTGTGTGGTGAAGATGAAGAACTGCGTTGTCGAAACGTGGGATCCGGGGGAGGGCCCTTCGTTTCCGAAGCAGTTCACGTTCGACTCCACGTACGACCAGGATTCGAACACGGAGAACATCTACAACGATATTTGCTACCCCCTGGTTGAGGTATGGTGGTTGGATTTTTTTGCACATTCATATTATTGTCACTTAAAAAAAATCTCATCAGTATTTACATCGTGCTGACTTCCAGTCTATAATTAACCGTTAGCAAAGTCATTGACTTTTCATAAGTTTTATGAATTCTTTATGGTTATTTCTAACGAACTACCCGAACTCAAGGTGGGGTGGGTTTAACGTATGCATAAGCTGATTCGAATATATGACGTCAATAAAGTATACATTGTTTGAAATAATTTTATATTTTTCTTGTTTTTTGCGACTTACTTCACACTCTTGCTCTCTCATTCTCATTAGAATAAGGCCTTTAAATGTTAAAAAAAAAGCAAATATTTAAAGAAAAAAATGAATCTACCATTACCGTCTATGAGTATATTCACATAGGGAAACACATATAAACTTCTGCCCAAATTTTTGCCAAAAGTATACGTCCGATTGTAATGAACTTCACACCGTTGAAATGAGCGTAAAAAACCCTACCCAGACTGCTTTTCCATTTTTTCAATTTTGTTGTCAAAAAAAAAAACTACAACGCGTTAAAATTGTGATAAGTATGAGATTATCTGGTTTTCGCTATTTATGGATCAATTTTAAATTTTCAAAAAGGTACATTAGTAGAAATTGTATTGCGCCTTACAGAAGTAAAGTATCTTAATAAATAATTGAGTAAACAGGGGCAGAATATTTAAAATTTGTGGTCAAACAAACTTTAGCCATTTTTCGGGTCCAGTCAAATCTGTAACAGGTAACCGATAGAGTCCGTCCTTTTAAACTCCTCATAATCCGACAATAATTTTTTTTTAGAGTGTCCACCCTCTAAGGTTTTCTAAATTTAATCTGTAAGCCACAACCCCAAGTAAGAGACAATTAAAGACAGACTTTTAAGTTTACATTATCTTGTATCCCCCTTCTAAGTATTTAGGAACATCCCTTTTATTAAAAAGTAAAAGATTTGGGTCCGCAGGTTATTATCGGTGGATTAATATTTACGTAGCCAATAAGATATTTTGAAATCTCCCACCAATGCAAATTTCGTTTAAAATTTGTTGCAGTTGGCATCGAACTTTTATTTGTAGCTAAACTTGTGGTAACCCAAACATCCCGCCTTAAATTGACACTTAAAAAAAATTGGAAAACCGCGAAAAATTCAAAAATTAAAACTTTTACATTGGCTGTGATCGTCTAACAAAATGGAACCCTACGTTGTGTTTTTGAAAAATGACGTGATGCGTTCAGATGCAAATGGTGAACCTCAAGGTTGGAAAAGTATCGCTAAATAAAACACAAAATTTATGGAAGACACAAAATTATTTATTCCTCCACTGACAAAAAAAAATTATTGAACTTTGGATGAAATTTAAATGAAATCAAATTGAACTGAATCAATGCAAATATTTGAAAATCACAAATTTAATAAAAACAAAGCAAAATCTGAATTAAAGTAATTGGATGCAAATACATAAATTATTACAGACATGTGGCGGCAAATTTAAAATTATAACAGTCAACAAGTGCACAAAATTTTAGTAAAAAAATTATGCAGCAGCAGCGGCACCAGAGTGCTATAAGAGTGTGGCGATCGAACTATGTCAACTTCATTCTAGAGCACAAGAAAAAATACTCATAGGGGGCGTTGTAGCGCGAGCGGACTTTGGGGCTCTCGGTCGTGGCTGTTCTCCCCCGCGATGGTGATTCTATCTATCGCAAGCACTACTGCCCAGCACCCCTCTATCTAACGAAAAGACATACCGCGCTACCCAGGCCGTTACGGTCGCAAACTCGTGGTTGGAAGTCACGGCTATAAATAAGCTGACAGCATCACGTCATCCAGACCGTTCCCCTGACTTCTATGCAAAGCCTGCATCCTTAGGGCAGATGGCGCGATAAATCTCGCCAGCTCGACTAGGAACCGCGCCCTCCGTTTCTGCCACGTGTTGTGTGTTATTTAACCTCAATTCCATTTATATGTTCAATTCTTATAACTCTGATATTAAACTACAACTGACCAAGTGTAAAAGTTTCAAAAAGAGCAATAAACAACATTTAAATTCGCCATACAATTTTGTGAAATTTTAAATAACAAATAATTCTTATTTGAGATTAAGATTGGACATCAGATCATTTATGATGGAAACATTCATCAACAAAATATTTACAAAACAAAAACTAGCACAAATTTATAAAAAAACAAAGGATCTGGGGTGAAATAAAAATTACTGAGGTTAAAATTGTGAGATAGAAAAATATTGTATGACGTGAACAATTACAGAGCTAACAAATTTACATGAAATTAATATTTGCCACACTTTATTAACGATTCAAACAAAGGGTTTACATTATGTTAAATGACGCCTTGATCCAAGTGATTAGTTACTTCAAACAATTAACTTTGAGAGTTTATCGCGAACTGTTTACCCCAAACAAAACACATAATAGATAAATACAAAAATATCCGGCCATCGTTGCGAAGAAAAAGCGTCTCGGTGATGTAATTGTTAACGTTGCGAGGAAATGCCTCGGTGATGTAATTTTCCACGTTGGGAGAGAATAGGTCTCGGTGATGTAATGATGGTAACGATGACAATAACAATGATAACTACCTAAGGGAAGAATTTATTTTAATCCCCCATCAGTCCACGATATTATAAATTCCGCTTTTTACTTTTACGGTCTTTTCCCAGAGTGGGGCAACGTTAGATTGATTTAACTGCCGTTAATGAATTATTAGCGATCTTGTGTGAGAAATTAAGAAGTGTTATAATGTAACACTTAAGTATATGCATCCAGAAACCTCATTCATAACTTTGTAAACCAGGAGTGTTATCCTGACGAAGTGCATTTCATGAAATCTCCTAGTAAGTATTTATCTTAGCAAGTTCCTGATTGTTAAATTGTGATAGAACTAGTTAACGATTAAACTCCTAACATGAACTGTGAATTTACAAACAATGAATTAAATTTACACGTGTCGGCGTCGTCAAAAATTCACATTTTCCGATTAGAAAGCCGCAAGAATTAGCTGCGGGTGTTGGGGAAAACTGACGCAGGCGTTACGATTAATTTTCGTTAAACAAAGGCTTCCTCCCTTTTAATAACTACCAAACCAACTAATTTAACCTAGCTAATTTACAGCGTCTTTTCACCATGTTCTCACTCAAACCAACAATGACGTTTTCACCAAGCCGCCATCTTGTCTACCAAGCAACCCAGTGGCATAACAATCAAACTGCGGGCCTGTGTTCTACAACACTGTGGGGCCCCTAATGAACAGCGAAATAAAAATATTTAAAAACACAAGTATAATGAGTAAACTATGAGCAGATTGCAATTAGGGCTTACGTTTTATTAAAATCATTCTACCTGAAACGCTGAATTAAAAAAATAAAATGCAATAATTACCTGAAAACATATAGTTAAAATATAGGTATACAATTATACATATTAGAAACTAGCCGACCCGGCAAACGTTGTTTTGGCATTTCTAGTGGATATTTTGGTAGTTAAATAAAAAATTAAATTAAAATAAATACAAATAAATATAAATAAATTAAATTATAAATTATACATAAAAATTTATCGTACGACAATGATTACATTCAATAGCCATCTTGCAACCCTATTGCGGATCTATGGATGAAAGTGAAGATACTCATATCGTTATGAAAAAATGGGGGTTGGTGGTAGAAGGGTCAAAATTTAGGGTTATATGTATTTTTTGATGCCACATCTTAAAAAAATAAAAATAAAAAATGTTAGGCCACCCTTATCACTTAGGGGTATAAAAAATAGTTTACTAGACCTACCGAATATACATAAAAAATTTCATAAAAATCGGTCAAGCCGAAGGAGTTTGGTTACAAACACTGTGACGCCAGAATCTCATATTTGATTATTTTAGAACAAATTTCATCATCACCTTAAAAGATCGACATATGCTGCGCGGACTTTTTTTAGAACTTTTAGAAGGGAACAATTCCATCATACATGATTTTTATGTAACTTTAACCGTTTAAACAGCGTCAGTAACGAAAGCTGTCAAAGAAAGAATTATTTTGCCGTTTTTCCGATGTTTTTCATTGCTGCTCCGCTCCTATTGATTGTAGCGTGATGTTATATAGCCTATAACCTTTCTCGATAAATGGACTATCCAACACAAAAAGATTTTTTGAATTCGAACCAGTAGTTTCTGAGATTAGCGCGTTCAACCAAACAACTCTTCAACTTTATAATATAAGTAAGTATAGAAGTATAGATAAAAAATGCCCATTTTTTTTTTATCTCAAAATTGTTTTCTTCTTGCTTTACAATGGGCACAAGTTGATACAAAATTTGACACATCTAAGCTTCTGGCAATTTGATTCCCAATTGAGAGATTCAGTGAAGATAATCTGCATTGTGTTTCTTAAAAAATTTTTCCGCTGAAGCCACCGAAAGAGGTATTATAAAAAAAGTGAAACATGCTGTGATAATGTCAGTGAAACTAGTGCAGGTAGGTCATTCTGTAATCATTTCTCAGTCCAGTTTTTTTTTCTATTTTATTATTCCAAAAATGCACCACAAGTACAAAATTAAAATAGTTTTGAAAATACGAAAGTTTTCATAAAACACAACTGAAACTGATTTTTTTTTTTCACGTCTTATTACAGCATGAAGTTTCACTGTAGATCTGAGGACAAAACTTAAGTATTTTGTTGTCTTGCATCATAAATTAGTCATACTTTTGTCGGGTAAAGATTGATAATTTACTACATGGGGTGTTAAATTTGCCACAATGGGATGGCGACGCTGTGAGAGGTTTATTAGAAACATATGCTGCTGTATTTTCGACCGCCGATGCCAGTCGCTAAAACTCGAGTTTATTGAGTCTATGATATTGATATGCCGCCAAAAGTCCAACCCTTTTGCAGCAAAAAAGTTGTAAATAGCAATGAACCATCGATCTTAGGATTATCGCACATTTTCGATTTTTTTTATTTCGGGATGTAATT